AGATGTACGACCCATCACTCTTTCTTTTCATCAACTCTCAACCTCGTCCAGCTTCACCCCTCGTTGCGTGTACGATGGTCGCAAGAACATCTTCAGCATCCACAAACTCCGCTTCGACACCGGGTCGCAGGAGTTCGACGTCACCCTCGCCGATGCCTCGTCGTCCACGACCGGAAAGGGCCCCAAGGTGTACAAGATAAAGCTCACCCACGTTGCGGAAATCAATCCTGAAGTCTTGCAACGCTTCATCGCGGGCGACCAATCCCACGACAACACCGTCTTGACTGCCATTACCGTCCGTCTTCCCCTCTTTTTTTTCTTTCTTTTTTTTCCCTTGCGTTGTTGACGATAAACGTAGGCGCTCAACGTCGTCATTCGCATGGAGCCTACGCTCAACTACCCGTTCAACGTCCGGTCCTTTTTCACTAACCGCGAGACCAAGGACATTGGCGCTGGCCTCGAGCTCTGCAAGTCTCTTCTACTTTATTATTATTATTCCTTCGCTAATATCTTAATCAGGGCGCGGGTACTTCCAATCGATTCGTCCTGCAATGGGCAAGATGTTGATTAGTTCGTCGTTTTCTCTCTCTCTCTTCGACTCGAAACTGACACTCGGTACAGACGTCGACATCTCCACCGGCACGATGTACAAACACGCAAGTGCTTCTTTGTCTATTTCATAACTATCGCCAACCTCTGATCAGGGTCCGCTTCTGCGTCTTTGCCTCGAGTACATCGGCAAGAACGATCCCAACGCGCTTTCGCCCAAGCGCGGGTTCCCGGATCGCGAACGCCTCCGCCTTCAGCGTTTCATCAGCGGCATCCGCGTACTGACCACTCACGCCGGCCCCAATGGCGAAGTCCAGACTCCTCGTGTGATCAAAAAGCTCAGCACGGCCGGGGCCTCTTCCCTCACCTTCCAGATGCGCGAGGGACAAACCATGACGGTCGCCGATTACTTCCAGAGCACTCAGAACAAGCCCTTGCAATTCCCCGACGTGATTTGTTGTGAGGTTGGATCCGGCGCCCTCATTCCCTTGGGTTTGTGTTCTTTTGCTCTTCATTGTCCGCTCTTCCGCTGACCTTGCCACAGAGTTGTGCGTCGTCCCTCCCGGCCAACTGATGAGGAAGCAAGTCCCGCCCGAGAAGACTAAGGATGTGTACGTCTCCGACGCGGTCTTGATGCCGATTGAACGCTTACCCTCCGCCTCTCAGTCTTGATTTTGCGACCAAGAAGCCCCTCGATCGCCTCAAGAGCATCACCAATGGTCTCGGTGTACGCTTCTTCCTCAACGACTGCTATATGTTCCTGATTTTTTCTTCTTCTTTTGCATAGGTCCTCGCCTACGGCCAGTCCGAGTATGTTCGGCAATTCGGGATGTCGGTCAAGGCCACTGGGCCGCTCCAGGTTCAGGCTCGCGTCCTGAAGCCCCCGATGCTTAAATATGGCCCGGGTTCGCGTCAATTGACCATTGTGCGTGTCTCGTCGTGTCTCTTGTTTTCGTCTTCATTTTCTTAATGCTTTCCCTTTCAGACTCCCCGCGACGGCGCTTGGAACATGGGTTCGCTCCTCTTTCATTTCCAACAGGCATTAATTGACCTTTCCCTCAGTCGACAAGAAGTTCTTCAAGCCGGTGGCCATCGATCGTTGGGTTGTCGGTTCGTGTCCCATATCTATTTCTTTTTCAAAGCGTCGCTGAAATTTCTTTCTAGTGATCTATGAACAACAGCGTCGCTTCAACGAGGGCGCCGCCAACGACATGATCAACGGATTGTGCGGCAGCTGCAGGGACGTAGGAATCAAGCTCGCCCCCACTCCGTTCATCTTCTGGGAGAACGGCCAGGGCCGCATCGCCGATCAGCTCAAAGCCGCCGGTGCCGCCTGCGCGGCGAAGGCGGGGAAAGGGCCCAACCTCATCGTCGTTATCCTCCCAGAGGTACGTGCACTTCTTGTTGGCGCCTCGAGCTGACATTCACGCCTTTCTTTTGCCGTAAATAGGGTGGAAATGATATCTATACCAGGTGCTTTTTATTCTTGTCCGGGCCATCTACGAACTGACATTTTTAATCGGATTTTTAGTGTGAAAGTGCGCCTTCTCTCGCTCCCTCTCTTTTTCTCCGCCCTTTCCTGACTTGTTTTGGCTCAGCACTTTGGCGATATTACGATGGTACTTCCTTCGCCTTTCTTATCTTCACAACCCTCACGTGTTTGAACAGGGCGTCGCTACCCAGTGTTTGAAGAGCTCCAAGTGCTTCCGCGCAAAACCACAATACTATGCGAATGTGTGCCTAAAGGTTCGGACTCCCTAAACTTTTATGAGAGTCGATGAATTCGATCCCTCTAGATCAACGTGAAACTCGGCGGGATCAACACCATTCCCGGTGCGTACCCGCGTTTTTCTCCCTTGCTTGCGCTAAACATGTGTCGACAGACCCATCGTCCGTTAGCGTATTGACTGGTACGAATAATTCATGCTTTATTTTATGACCAGCACGCTGAGATCGCGTGTCCAGACCCGCACAACCCTACTATTGTCATGGGTGCGTCCATTCTTTTCCGTATTTTCCGGCTTGTTTCTCATATATTTACACAGGCGGTTCGTCCGACTCTTCCTTTACTTCCACTGCCAAGCTGACAATCAAATAATTCAGCGGACGTCATCCACCCCGCCCCTGGCTCGGATGGTCGTCCTTCTTTCACTGCTCTCGTCGCCAACGTCGACTCGGATACGGCCAAGTATATCGCAGCCAGCCGCGTCCAGACTTCTCGACAGGAAATGATCGAGGAACTGGAGAGTATGTCGCACCACTGCCTGTCCATGTACATGAGGTGTAAGTTCTTTCTTCCAACGGGCTCCTCCCACATTGACCGCGTTATCCAAGACCGCGAAATGGCCGAGCGCAAGGCGGCTGGAACGACCGCCCCAAAGCGCATCATCTTCTACCGCGGTACGTTTCTCTGCGGAATACTTTGTTGTCGGTGGCTGATTCTGGCCTTCAGATGGTGTCTCGGAGGGTCAATTCAAACAGGTTCCCTTCTTTGTTGCTCGTGTGCTCGAGGATCGCTGACGCCTCTGTCCATTCACCAGGTTCTCGAGCAAGGTTAGCACATGCTGGATCTCTCTTTCTTACTTGGGGCTGACGATCACATAGAACTCCCGCTCATCAAGAGTCTGCATTTCCCCTTTGCTCCTGCTCCTATCGCTCATTTCGTACAGAGGCTTGCGCGTCCCTCAAAATCAACCCGAAGATCACGATCCTCGTCGTGGGCAAGGCAGGTCCTCGCCTACTTTCCACTCGCCTTCGCTGACTTGTTTCTCGCAGCGCCACCACGTCCGGTATGGCTCGAGTTCTTTTTTCATGACCTTGTTTAAGACTTGATTTTCAGGTTCTTCCCCCAGAGCGAGCGCGACGCGGACCGCAGCGGCAATTGCAGGGCGGGTACCGTCGTCGACCGCGACGTCGCTCATCCGACCGAGTTCGACTTTTATCTCCAGGCGCACGGTGGATTGCTGGGTAAAGTTGACATGTAATTACCTTGATCAACATGCTTACTATTTGTCTAGGCACGAGTCGTCCTGCGCATTATTCGGTGCTCTACGACGTGAGTCTCCTTCGTCTTCCCCCATTCTGAAAGCTTAGTCTTGCCACAGGAAAACAACTTTAGGTCCGAGCCCTCATTTGCCTGTCTTCACACGCCGATTACTCATGGGTTTCCTCCAGCGCCGACGCATTGCAGTCGCTTTCGTTTGCACTGTGCCACGTCTACGCCCGCTCCACGCGCTCCGTGTCGATCCCCGCCCCCGTCTACTGTGCGTGCCGGTCCCTTGCTTTTTTTTTCTTTTTTTTCTTTCTCTGCTAAATTCTCAACAGATGCGGACATCGTCTGCTCCAGGGCGGAGAACCACTACGACCCTCAGGGAACCGTCGATTTCAGCGATTCCGCGACCCAGATCGACGACGGCCAGGCTGCCAGCTCCCTCGAGGCGTTCAGACGCGGCTTCAAGCCCCTCCACAACTCGCAGTCGACCCTCATGTACTTCAGGTCTGCCCCCTTTGCCTTATTGTCGCGTATCTCCCTCCCTGACCTTTTCCTCAGTTAATTTGCGCGTCGCTTCAAGTTTTCGAATTCTTGTTATGTTGTGGTGCGCGACATTTGCCCGCGCTGTACGCGATATATCTTAATATATCTTATCTAAATTGCCGTCCATGTACTTGCTATGATCATCGAATCATTATCTGCTTGCCTTTCTATTGTTGGCTCCCTCGTTTGTTCCATCTCCAGCAGCCCCTATTGCGTTATTTTATCGTATTATAAGCGATTCCTCTTTCGGGACTACCTTCTACTTGGTTTCTCCTCTTTCTCACACTGTCTTCGCATCCGGTCTCATCTTCTCTGCACCTACTTCTGTCGGGTCCCCCTTTGCTTCACCACAGCGCCAAACGCGTCTTTTTCACTGGGAAATTCAGCCCGCCAGGTTAATCTGGAGCAGAGAGCGTCTATTGCGGTCATACGGTAAACGAACCCGGATGAGCACGGTAGTACCTCGGACTCCGACGAAAAACCTGTTGGAAGGATATCCCTCAGCGCCCCCTCAGGTCGCGAACACAAGCTGGTCGTTCCCGTGGACACATCGACTGACCCTCGAGCTTCAAAAGCTCACCACAATTTCCAAGTTAATCACCATGCTCAGCGGAGTATTTCGCTCCATCTTGTCATACTCGGTGAGGTAAATGAGCGACACCGTCGCGCTGACCGTGACGGCTGTCCGTCGATGGGACGGAGTGGAGCCCCACGCACGTAATCTCTCCGATACAACGCAACCAGAGCAGTATCGCAAAAGGGACACGAAGCACTGTAAAGGAAAAGAGCTCGCATATGCATCGAGGCAACTATACAATGAGGAATTTGGGATGCACTGAATTGATTCAGCGTGAATGATTCGACAGGTGCTGAATCACGCGCTGTATAGATACAGTCAATACAACCCTTTTGCATCGGTTGCGTAGTGTAGCGGTTATCACTCCAGATTCTGACCAATGATTTCTGGCAACCCCGGTTCGATTCCGGGCGCGACCTCTTTTTCTTCTTCGCCTCAGTCTACTAGTCTTCCAGTCATTGTTTCCTGGTATTCAAAACAGCCGCAATGAAACCTTAAATGTCAATCGACGATCAGTACTCAGTTTCAGTTCTGCGTCCTCGCATAAAAATTATGCTGACTGTGCGCTGGCTGGGGTGATTTGGGGTGGCTAATGAATTTCGTAGTGAGCGTCCCATTTTGTAAAAGTACTGCCAGCGACACCGCTTAATGCAGGCAGCCGTTTCCAGTACTATTGACAAGACCTTCCAAACTTTATTTTGCAATTAATGAAGTGTCGCGTCATTCTTGTTTATCAGATCTTCCTGTGCGGTTCAACCACCATATTCCTCCGTTCAAATATGTCGCAAACGAAAGCCAAGCACAGTATGGCAAGAGCAAGCACGATGCACCGGGCGAATGCGACGCAAGCAATATCTTGAATCATCATCAGCCAGCGCACGTCGCAGAGAAGGAATGTGTTTACGGTGATGTAAAATGTAGCTGCTGCCATGATACCACTGTCAATTAGCGCAAAGCCAGTCTGTAATATTTTTGGTTGGGGTCGGTGGAAATAGCCCACTGAAGGGACCTGCCTTCTTAGCACCGAAAAACAAGGGTGTCCAGAGAATGTTCAATGCCAGTTGTGCATAATATAGGGAAAGCGCCAGCATGCAGTCAGATCTTTTTTTTTAACGGTAGGTGAGCACATTTCTTGAAACCTTGCAGAAAGCATGTACTTGACTGATGCAGAGGATGCGCCGTCAAGAGCTTTGACGGTGAGATGAGCCGCATATCCTATCGCTTAAGATGACCATTCAGAGAATGTAAGGACTTGAAGAGACACACTTACAGACGTATAGAATAGGCCAGACGACGGGGAAAACCTGGCGCGGGGGACGGCCGGGTGGAGTGCGTAAGTTCTGGTCGAATCCTGAGTTTTCCGTGGCTTCGTGCTTCACTAATCCCAACATACTTTGTACCAGTCACCTTGAACTACGTTGGCCGTGGGATATCCACTGAGAAGCCCGAGACCTAGGTAACTTATGGTGAAATTCACTGAGAAATGTCGAAAGAAAGACCTAAAGGGAGTCCGACCGCCATCAAAGGGATTCGAGCAGCAGTCAGAAGAAAGCCCGGAAGCTGAAATTCAGAGGAGGACATGACGGTTTGAAGGAAAGAGGGTCGTCCTGGCCGCGTTCTGAATCGCGACCTCGCGTGACGTCATTAAGGCAGGAATCGATCGGGCGTTGATCGCGTCAAATAGGGGCTACATCGATGCTAGCTGCATGAGCTCAACCGGGCGAGAGAAAGACGTTCCGGAGGTTGTCGATTTGTGTAGGCAGCGGCTGGACAGAATATCAAGCAAAAAAAAATAGGGCAAAAAAGAGCAGATGGATTTTTATAGCAGTACATGACAATTTAGATATATATAGATATATCGCGTACAGCGTGGGCAAATGCCGCGCACCACAACATAACAAGAATTCGAAAACTTGAAGCGACGCGCATTTAAATTAACTGAGGAAAAGATCAGGGAGGGAGATACGCGACAATAAGGCAAAGGGGACAGACCTGAAGTACATGAGGGTCGACTGCGAGTTGTGGAGGGGCTTGAAGCCGCGTCTGAACGCCTCGAGGGAGCTGGCAGCCTGGCCATCGTCGATCTGGGTCGCGGAATCGCTGAAGTCGACGGTTCCCTGAGGATCGTAGTGGTTCTTCGCCCTGGAGCAGACGATGTCCGCATCTGTTGAGAATTTAGCAGAGAAAGAAAAAAAAGAAAAAAAAAGCAAGGGACCGGCACGCACAGTAGACGGGGGCGGGGATCGACACGGAGCGCGTGGAGCGGGCGTAGACGTGGCACAGTGCAAACGAAAGCGACTGCAATGCGTCGGCGCTGGAGGAAACCCATGAGTAATCGGCGTGTGAAGACAGGCAAATGAGGGCTCGGACCTAAAGTTGTTTTCCTGTGGCAAGACTAAGCTTTCAGAATGGGGGAAGACGAAGGAGACTCACGTCGTAGAGCACCGAATAATGCGCAGGACGACTCGTGCCTAGACAAATAGTAAGCATGTTGATCAAGGTAATTACATGTCAACTTTACCCAGCAATCCACCGTGCGCCTGGAGATAAAAGTCGAACTCGGTCGGATGAGCGACGTCGCGGTCGACGACGGTACCCGCCCTGCAATTGCCGCTGCGGTCCGCGTCGCGCTCGCTCTGGGGGAAGAACCTGAAAATCAAGTCTTAAACAAGGTCATGAAAAAAGAACTCGAGCCATACCGGACGTGGTGGCGCTGCGAGAAACAAGTCAGCGAAGGCGAGTGGAAAGTAGGCGAGGACCTGCCTTGCCCACGACGAGGATCGTGATCTTCGGGTTGATTTTGAGGGACGCGCAAGCCTCTGTACGAAATGAGCGATAGGAGCAGGAGCAAAGGGGAAATGCAGACTCTTGATGAGCGGGAGTTCTATGTGATCGTCAGCCCCAAGTAAGAAAGAGAGATCCAGCATGTGCTAACCTTGCTCGAGAACCTGGTGAATGGACAGAGGCGTCAGCGATCCTCGAGCACACGAGCAACAAAGAAGGGAACCTGTTTGAATTGACCCTCCGAGACACCATCTGAAGGCCAGAATCAGCCACCGACAACAAAGTATTCCGCAGAGAAACGTACCGCGGTAGAAGATGATGCGCTTTGGGGCGGTCGTTCCAGCCGCCTTGCGCTCGGCCATTTCGCGGTCTTGGATAACGCGGTCAATGTGGGAGGAGCCCGTTGGAAGAAAGAACTTACACCTCATGTACATGGACAGGCAGTGGTGCGACATACTCTCCAGTTCCTCGATCATTTCCTGTCGAGAAGTCTGGACGCGGCTGGCTGCGATATACTTGGCCGTATCCGAGTCGACGTTGGCGACGAGAGCAGTGAAAGAAGGACGACCATCCGAGCCAGGGGCGGGGTGGATGACGTCCGCTGAATTATTTGATTGTCAGCTTGGCAGTGGAAGTAAAGGAAGAGTCGGACGAACCGCCTGTGTAAATATATGAGAAACAAGCCGGAAAATACGGAAAAGAATGGACGCACCCATGACAATAGTAGGGTTGTGCGGGTCTGGACACGCGATCTCAGCGTGCTGGTCATAAAATAAAGCATGAATTATTCGTACCAGTCAATACGCTAACGGACGATGGGTCTGTCGACACATGTTTAGCGCAAGCAAGGGAGAAAAACGCGGGTACGCACCGGGAATGGTGTTGATCCCGCCGAGTTTCACGTTGATCTAGAGGGATCGAATTCATCGACTCTCATAAAAGTTTAGGGAGTCCGAACCTTTAGGCACACATTCGCATAGTATTGTGGTTTTGCGCGGAAGCACTTGGAGCTCTTCAAACACTGGGTAGCGACGCCCTGTTCAAACACGTGAGGGTTGTGAAGATAAGAAAGGCGAAGGAAGTACCATCGTAATATCGCCAAAGTGCTGAGCCAAAACAAGTCAGGAAAGGGCGGAGAAAAAGAGAGGGAGCGAGAGAAGGCGCACTTTCACACTAAAAATCCGATTAAAAATGTCAGTTCGTAGATGGCCCGGACAAGAATAAAAAGCACCTGGTATAGATATCATTTCCACCCTATTTACGGCAAAAGAAAGGCGTGAATGTCAGCTCGAGGCGCCAACAAGAAGTGCACGTACCTCTGGGAGGATAACGACGATGAGGTTGGGCCCTTTCCCCGCCTTCGCCGCGCAGGCGGCACCGGCGGCTTTGAGCTGATCGGCGATGCGGCCCTGGCCGTTCTCCCAGAAGATGAACGGAGTGGGGGCGAGCTTGATTCCTACGTCCCTGCAGCTGCCGCACAATCCGTTGATCATGTCGTTGGCGGCGCCCTCGTTGAAGCGACGCTGTTGTTCATAGATCACTAGAAAGAAATTTCAGCGACGCTTTGAAAAAGAAATAGATATGGGACACGAACCGACAACCCAACGATCGATGGCCACCGGCTTGAAGAACTTCTTGTCGACTGAGGGAAAGGTCAATTAATGCCTGTTGGAAATGAAAGAGGAGCGAACCCATGTTCCAAGCGCCGTCGCGGGGAGTCTGAAAGGGAAAGCATTAAGAAAATGAAGACGAAAACAAGAGACACGACGAGACACGCACAATGGTCAATTGACGCGAACCCGGGCCATATTTAAGCATCGGGGGCTTCAGGACGCGAGCCTGAACCTGGAGCGGCCCAGTGGCCTTGACCGACATCCCGAATTGCCGAACATACTCGGACTGGCCGTAGGCGAGGACCTATGCAAAAGAAGAAGAAAAAATCAGGAACATATAGCAGTCGTTGAGGAAGAAGCGTACACCGAGACCATTGGTGATGCTCTTGAGGCGATCGAGGGGCTTCTTGGTCGCAAAATCAAGACTGAGAGGCGGAGGGTAAGCGTTCAATCGGCATCAAGACCGCGTCGGAGACGTACACATCCTTAGTCTTCTCGGGCGGGACTTGCTTCCTCATCAGTTGGCCGGGAGGGACGACGCACAACTCTGTGGCAAGGTCAGCGGAAGAGCGGACAATGAAGAGCAAAAGAACACAAACCCAAGGGAATGAGGGCGCCGGATCCAACCTCACAACAAATCACGTCGGGGAATTGCAAGGGCTTGTTCTGAGTGCTCTGGAAGTAATCGGCGACCGTCATGGTTTGTCCCTCGCGCATCTGGAAGGTGAGGGAAGAGGCCCCGGCCGTGCTGAGCTTTTTGATCACACGAGGAGTCTGGACTTCGCCATTGGGGCCGGCGTGAGTGGTCAGTACGCGGATGCCGCTGATGAAACGCTGAAGGCGGAGGCGTTCGCGATCCGGGAACCCGCGCTTGGGCGAAAGCGCGTTGGGATCGTTCTTGCCGATGTACTCGAGGCAAAGACGCAGAAGCGGACCCTGATCAGAGGTTGGCGATAGTTATGAAATAGACAAAGAAGCACTTGCGTGTTTGTACATCGTGCCGGTGGAGATGTCGACGTCTG